GAGATCTAATTGAAAATATATTCTTTTGGAAAGGTGGTAATCTCGACAGTCGTCTATTTATTCGCCTAGGGTAAACAAACATTTGTCCCCAAAAATCATTGTAACGACACGCCCGCCGTATTCACTGTCAACTTCAGCCATGACGACGCCCTCCAGTAGTCAAGACTGGGCGGTAAGTTGGGTGGGGAGGAGAAGCGTTGCCGCTATTATGGACGATAGTTATAGGTGTCGCTGTGACGAATTTTCGGTGTGTTTGTACGCAGTCGCTGACCCCATTCCATGCAGGGGAATTGTTGGTCGCCACTTCCATTTATATACCATTCGTTAACGGTATTGTTGTTAAACGAGAGGTGGCATACCAAGAGAGCGATGTAAAATCCACGTGCCCTATTTCGCCTATTAGAAATAAATGTTGACTTCTTAATTTCATTAAAAATGGGCCCTAGACTAGGTAGTGTTTGACATGCGTAGTCAGACCGTTTAGATATGTCATCCACCGCCCCCGAACAGGCCTCCGGTAGTGCTGACTCTGACTCCCAACCGAACCCAGATAGGGGAGGCAGGAGAAGATGCGGCAAACGCTGCGTAGATCTACCTCACTATTAAACTACACGCGCAAGTCACCATTCTGCGACCATTCCATGCGGCACGCGGTGAACTTCGTCGCTCGTGACGGTCGAAATATCATCTAAATATTGCATAATTGGCGCAGAATTACATTAAGGCAAGGTTCATTCCCGTCATTATTCCGAAGGTAATAAAAAAATCAATAGGTGTTCACTGCAATGTAAAGCAGCATTACGAAACTGGTGCCTCACTTTCCGTCCTAAGCAAGGATTTTTGTAAATTTTGAACAGCTAACAAGATTTCAGCGGGAAAAGGCGAAAAGCGAGTTGCTTTGCTTCTCAGAGTAAAGAAGCTTCCGATATCTGGTGGGGGCGGGAGAGTCATTAAAGAACGACCACCCATCGGACTGCTGGGCGACCAAGGCAGCAGAGACAGGGACTGTCAAGCAAAGGGGGGGGTGGAGACAACGGCCACCTCTGGCCTCTCATCATTTCTCCAGTTCATTAAATCTCCAGCGTACTGGGACCATAAAATAAGGCACGAACTCCGCACAGATGGTTTCCAGGGGAAACTTTGCCGAGCAGTTAGCATCATCACTGGACGAAATGTTTATTGGTAACCCTCGCTAGTCAGTTGTCGCGGTCTACCAGGTATTTATTTGCACGGAGTTAGATCCAAATACATCTCTTTGTACCCCGACGGCAAAAGAATCCACAAATGTAACAAGCGAAAAATAACAAATATACATCGATAGTAGTAGTGAAAGTGCGATTCCCCCCTGGCATATCAAAAGAAAGTTCTGCGCACAGCTCCCCTTATATGGCGCACTTTGTTCAATGCGTGATCCACCTACGTTTATGAACGGGATAAAATCAACTACTATACGGAACTACTGAACTCAATCATCCCCGATCTGCAGTTCACGATGGAAGATGAAGTAGGGGACAAACTTCCATTCTTTAATGTTCTCATCTGCCGCCAACCAAATGGTGAACTAGCGACGTCGGTCTACAGAAAACCGATGAACACGCTTCAAATGCTCAGTTGCTACGGCAACCACCCGCTACAACACAAACGAAGCTGTGTCCGCACGCTGTACCGACGGGTGGAAACTCATTGCAGCACGCCAGCCGCCTAACTGGACGAGATAAAGCTCCTCCAAGAACTCTTCAGAGCCAACGGCTATCCGCGGGCATTCATTGCACGGAGCCGAAAGCAGCCAAAGAAACGAAATGAAGAGCACAGTTAGTTAAACTTGTGGCGGAGCATTCCGTACATTAAACGGGTCTCCGAAGTCGTGGCTAGATCCCTCACGCCACTCGGAATAGGTGTTGCCCACAGGCCTGACTCAAAAATCCGCCGGCAAGTGATGCGCCCAAAAGAGCCGATCCCTAAGCAGGAGATGTCGACCGTTGTCTACCAACTTCAATGCAGCTGCGGGAGTTGCAACCACGTTGGGGAAACCGGCCGACAGCTGCAAGCGTGAATGCACGAGCATAAGTTGGCCGTGCGAAGGTTAGACCCAAAGTCGAAGGTAGCAACCCATGCCGCGCAAAAGGGACACATCTTCAACTTTGACATCGTTGAGATTGTGGGCCGGGGCGGTGATCATACAGCAAGGCAAGTGCAAGAAGCCTGGATGTCCACCGACTGCTCTGTCAGCAGCCACATCAATTTGCCTCCCCTCTATCAGACTTTACGAACCTTCTTAGCGGAGACAGTCACGGCGCGGGAAAATCGGGGTCGTCAGTCCTCCCCGCGGCCGACGGGGGCGATTCAGGTCACGGTGACATGCGGGTTGGATGCAGCCACGCAGGCGGCATTGGCGGGTCATGCAGTGAACAAAGTGCGCCATATAAGGGAAGTTCTGCGCAGGACTTTCCAGTTTCTGAAGATGGGTAGACGGATCAACTACTCGAAACGTCGGACCTCCAGTAAACTCCTCCCGGTGAACTCCTCTTCTTCTTTTGATACACCAATAGACACAGGGGAGACTCTGGTAGAAACTATTTCAGGCTTGTGCATGTCCCCTTAGGTCTTGCATATGAAGTTTTCCGTTCACACCAGGAGGACTGCGGAAGTAAACTCCAAGGCTTCCTTTGTAATTAAGATCTACGAGTGACAAGAGGTCTCTAAATCAAGGACCAATATACCATTCATTTTTTTATTTTTATGAACTCTGACTGGCTCTAATCATGAACGTCCTGCATTCCGTCCTAAACATACGCTTAAGTTTGCATGTTCGTCATCCGTCCCAACTGATTAAAAGGTTACACAGAAAGTTTTCTCGCCCGCGAAAGTTGAAAAACCAAGTGTAACTTAATATTCTGCAGCATATGTTTTCTCACTTTCATTATGGGGACCGCAGCCGCGTTGCAGAACTGTGAATATGGCTTGCAAGTTTACTCCCAGCAGACATCCTTCTTGGAACCATGGGACCCTCAAAATCCTCTGATAACACTTTCCTTGCTGCATGAAACCTGATTATTGTTGCATGAAGCTGGGTAAATGGGATTACAAGTTACTGACGGGCCAGCAAACTGGGACGGAGGGAGGCTTCAGGGTTGCATGGGAGTTGGAAGCTGACAGGTCACTCTCACTTATCTCATTCGCCCCACCACGCTTTGAGGATTAAATCTAATTCCCGTTGCCTGACAGTTCGACCTTACACTCTTTCGGGTGAATTACGGGCCTGCCTTCCGTTTACCGTGCGCCAGCAATAAGCTTATCTGTCTTTTGTGGAATGCAAGCTACGCATACAGTCGGTGTAGAAATGCCTGAATGTTTCACAGAATCCCCGCCTACGCTTTTTCATCCAAGGCAAATTCATCTTAAGTCCCCTCACGAGCCCTGAAATGTTTGATAAATTGTTAATGGACTGACAAAAAAGTTTATTTTAAATAGCATTTTTCTAGGAAGTTCCATAGTGAAAGTGAAAATTTTAGAGGACATAGTAATCGGAGCTCTATATACTGTGAAACACAACCTGCAGTTTGGCGCTTTTTAAGTGTTAAAATTTCCCTGAAAAAAATCCAATTCCCTGTCACGTTGCACCAAAAGTCTCGGCAGACTTTGAAAATGGCAGAATCATGAACGGACTTTAAGTTAAAAGTAAGAAATAACGGCTTACAGTGAAAGAAGTAGTTTTTTTTTATCGTAAAGAACCTCACCCTACTAAAGAAGACAATGATTCTCAGGAAAGATGTGAATGTGGGGGCATTAAATCGTTCCGTTTTTAGGGCGCCAATTGCTAGCCGACGACGTCCAACGCGTGCTCTACAACAAGGTGACAGCAGGCGCAGTGACTAGCGTGTGAAGTAGCTTATAGTGAGAGCAGACTTTCGCAGCATCCACCGCGCTCTCTCCCCCCGCGCCTGAGCCAATTGGCAAGACAGAGTCAAGAAGACCGGAGACGGGAGAGAGCGCAGGTGGATGACCTGGCCGAACCCGCACCTTGGTGCTCCACTCCACACCCCCCGGTACACAGCAGATACTTGACCAGGATTTTGACCAGCAGTAAAATTGGGTCAGAAAGGGAAGGATGGTACAAATCACTGGGTAAACATGCACACGGCCTGTATACCTAGCGGGAGCGCAAGCGCATCCACCGACAGGGTACCAGGAGCCAGCGCACACCAGACTGCGAGGACCATTGTTTGTTGTCGGTGTCGGTGGATGATGACAGTGAGGCAGCGGCAGTGGTCGCGGGGGGTGGTCGTCGTCACAGAGTTTGCTGCGGGGACGAGAGTGGGAGGAGAATTTGACGCTGTGTGGTCGTTGGTAGATTGCGCCCGAAGGTGACCAACGAAATTGATTCGAGCGCGGAATGTGCGTTTTCATCGCGGGCATATTGGAAGCGGCGGATGTTGGGCATTGAGGAGGCGAGGCACTTGTGATATGCGAGCCTCCCGTTTAGCTTTGTCAACGGCGATTGGGTCAGCGCTTCCCAACAACGACAGAAGCGATTGTCCTCGGGCTACGGAGACCGGTTCTGTGCGCGCAGAAGTACCTCTTGCACGCTCCGCGTCTGCCGTGGCCAAATTTTGATTAATTGCATGCATGTCTCCGCGTCCCCGTCCCTCCCTTCCCCTTGCGACACGGCTCTACCTAACCCTCACAACCGCCTACTGCCTCCTATCCCCCCTCTTTCACACCTACCGGATGCATGAAAAGACGAACCGTAACCGATTTCTCTTATCGTTCACACGTTTTATTTTGTACCTTGCCCCCATATAAACGTACTGGCCCAACGAGAATTTGTCAAAAGCACGCGTATGCTCACCAAATGCTCTTCTGAGACGGAAGTGGTTGAGCTTCCTGTCATGGCTGGAGTAGACGGCTCAGGTCTCCGCTCCGTGTGGCAGTGTCCGCAAGATGACACCTTTGTAGAGCTTGGTGCTAAGGTGGAGACCGTAACGATTTCAGACGGTGTTCTAGATGCGACCGAAGGCTTGGTTAGCTTTGGAGATCCAGCGGGCCATCTCGTCATCGATTTTAATGCTGCTAGAGAGGGCGCTGCCCAGGTAGGTGAAGGTGTCGACGGCTTGCAGTTGGGTGTCGCTCACGTTGAATTGAGGAACATTGTCGGCTGCGTTGGGTGGCGGCTGGTGCATGACCACCGTCTTCTCCGTGCCGATTATCAGCCCGAAGTTGTAGCAGTCGGAGAAGCGGTTCATGCTCCTTTGTATGTCCCCATTGAGAGCGTAATCATCGGAAACGAAACGTTTATGGACGATAGCTGCTGATACACGCAACTGGTAGTGCATCCGCCAACGATTTAGGAATTGGTCGTCTATTCTGTGGGCGACGCAGACCCCGAGGCGTTCGTTATGGTAGGCGTCCATTAGCATGGCATAGAACATGAGACCAAATAAGGTAGCCGTGAGGACGCAGCCTTATTCCACATCCGTTGTCCGTGACGCGCGCCATCATGCCATTCGTGGAGCTGACGCCCCATCTGAGTAAACTACTCGGGGCAGCCGAATTTCTGCATGATTTTCCACAATTCTTGGCGATTAAATGGGCCAAAGACTTTCGTCAGATCCACAAAGATAGATTCGCTTCTCCTGACATTTCTCCTACAGTTGGCGGCTAGCAAAAATCGTGTCGCTGGTCCCACGATGACGGCGAAAACCGGACTGAATTTCCAGTAGATGTCCCTGCTCCGTATAGTTGTTGAGGCGACTGATAAAAACTCGAGCGAAGATTTTTCCGGCAATGCTCAGCAGGGAAATGTCTCGGTGGTTGTCTCAGAGATGGCAGTCCTCTTTCTGCTTGTAGAGATGGACGACTGTGGCGTCCTTGAAATCCCGAGGGACCTGTCCTTTTCAAAAGTTTGGAGTCGCCATGCTTGTTAATTTCAGCAGGGATCGCGTCCGATTTGGGTGCTTTCCAGCTAGAGGGTTGGTGCGCGACTCTGATTGTATCGTGTAGGGAGGGCGGAAGGTCGAGGTCGGCGGTGGTCTCCACTTGAGGCAATCGGTTGAGGGAGGGGTCAGAGATGGCGGAGGGGCGGTTAAGGATACTTCTGAAGTACTCAGCCCAGCGCTTCAGAATTTGTGCCTTCTCAGTGAGCACGGTAGTTCCGTCAGCGCTGAAAAGGGGAGTAGTCCGTTTGGCTGTGGGTTCACAGACAGCCTCGACCGCAGCGAGGAAGTTCTTCCATTCGTTGCGGCCCGCGTAACCTTGGATCTCCTCGACTTTGCGAGTCATCCAGGTGTCCAGCATCTCCCACAGCCGCTGTTGCAGCGACTTGGGTTGAAAGTTTCTTTATTTGCGTTGACGGGGAGGATAACGTAAGCTTTGTGCAGGCGGTTATTCTCGGCGCCCAGATTGCTGACGCCGCGTCGTTGTCATAGAACCAATCCTGGTGTTGACGACAAGCGCGACAGAGGACAACCAGGGCGGTTGACTGGGCTGTGTCCCTCAGATGACAACATCAGTTTTCCACTGAGGCGTCTCGAAAGTTGGCTAGCCGATGAGCTAGGTCGTCGCTGCAATAGAGATGATGAGTGGGTACATTCAACAAAACAGTATCCAACTAACTTGGGGGTCGCTTACCTTGAGGTCTCCTCCAAGGCTGTAGGTGAATCCTCATCTTGATGATGACGAGGCGATGGCCGGTCTACCCGTTGGCACCTGGGATCGTCTTTGTCACCAGCAAGCCCTCCTGGCCTCGCCTTCAAACGAGAACATAGACCAGCAGGTGCCTGTGTCGCAACCGAGGGTGCATCCAGGTGGCCTTCTTCCTCGTCGGTAGGCGGAAGCAGCTGTTGTTCAGGATGAGGCGGTGCTCGGCGCAGGTTCGCAGGAGGAGCAGGCCATTGTCATTGAAGCCGCCAAGACAGCCGGGACCCACCACTACTCTTCAGGCAGCATGATCATTATCGACGCAGACAATCAACTCATCCTCCTTTGGCACACCTGCCAGGAGGAAGTGCAAGTTCACGTAGAATTTTTTCTTTGCCGCGCCAAAGCTGGCCATCAGCGGGGGCGTAGACGCTGATGGTGGTGGCAAATTTGCCTACACGAAGAGGCAGGCGGAAGATCATCAGACGATCGTTAATGCCCTACGCAGATAGGGCAGGCGTCCCCCGATGTCGTCTCGGATGGCAAAGGAGACACCGGTTTCGCGCCGCCCTGCCTGTGGGCGGTCGCTCTAGAAGGTGTAACCGGCACCCGCCTCCTCCACTTGGCCCTGTTCGGAGAAACGTATTTCACGGAGGACGGCGATGTCCACCTTATAGAGAACCAGTTCTCGAGAGACCAGCGCCGTCCACCGTTCCGGCCGGTTGCTCCTGGTATTGTCTAAGAGGGAACTAACATTCTGGGCTCCCAGAGTGAGCGGACTCACCCTGGCAGCTTGTGGGTTGGGGCGGAGGGGAGGAGGAAGACGAGAGAGAGAGTATTTTTCCTGTTTTAATGGTTTCGACTGCATGTGTAGCAGTCTGTGAGTCACTGTCTGCGCGCAGATGTCGCGAACTCAGCATTTGTTTATGACACTTTCTATAGCCCTGCGAGTGAGCAGGCAGTGCCTTCTCTAGATAGGGCTGTTTAGTCGTCCCAGACGCCTGCCGAACTCCACTGTGGGTCACGCATTGGTTTAGTGGGAGAACGACCCGGTTGGCCTCGGCCGCTTATGTTATGGTCTGTCACCGTCACCGTAAGATTTTTCGACCGTGGGAGGAGAGAGTTGAATGGGCAGTAAAGGGGGGAGAGTAGAGGGAGAGGGGAAGTGGAGCAGAATTACAATGTGTGAGAACACACACAGCAACGGATGCCCCTCATCTGGTTTAACCTACCGGTCCAGGCGGCTACCGGGGTGTCGCCGGTAGGGAGCACCTAGCTTCGGGTATCCACACGTGAGAGTTGAGCGTCAGTTAATGGGCGCAAGGCGTAGCCAACGCATGCAAGCAAGTGAAGTGACCTATTACGACCATCACGGGGACCCACAACTGGAAACCCTTACAACCCGCTAGCCAACAAGCTAACTCTTAGGAAATATCCATGGTCACCTCACATCACCAGCCCCGGGAGTCGACTATTGTGGGATTCTGGTTTTTACTCCTGCTGTTTATTTTGTGTGAGGCTTTCCTATGCTCTTCAAAATTAGTTAGCAACCTGTTGTAATGCCCTCTCTCTCTCTTGCAAAGGAAAAATTAATTCAACTGCTAGGAAAGCCGCAGCCGACAGGGACATCTTTGATGGGTTTCTTTCTATGGAGAAGTAAGCAGCTGGTGCCAGTGACACCAACTTTGGCTTGAGGTATGTGAATCTGAAAAATGTGATGGGCTCAACGGATCAGTTGAATTGAGTGACTGATGTTTTGGAGGTTTTGGCCGGCTCTCCATTATCAAAGCGTTTTGTGCAAAAAAAACGATCAAAATTTTGAATAAACGGCCGAATTAGTTGGCTTTGGGCCGACCGATTTTCTTCTTCTTTCGGGTCAGTGAATACCCAAGTTATTTTATCAAGTAAAGCAAGCGCCGAGTGAACAGACGACAACCACTAGAAGAGTAATCCGAGGTCTGGAGGGCTATTCCTTACACTAAAAGAGTCTCTGAGGCGGTTTCACGATTGTTACAGCCGCCAGAGTAGGCATTGCCCATCTACCCCAGGGAACAATCCGTCGCCGTTTGATGCAACCTAAAGACACACTGCCACCCACTGAAACCTCAGCAGTTGTCTATTAACTACGTTGTAATGATGGAGACTGCAACTACGTTAGAGAAACCGGACGGAAATTGCAGACCCGTCTAAATGAGCACAAACTGGCAACTCAGAGACTAGACTCAAACTCACAGCTTGCGGCTCACATCGGGGAAACTGGTCGCAGTTTTGACTACCAAAGAGCCACCGTCTTAAGCCGGGGTACCTCAAGGACAAAACGTCTCACACTTGAAGCTTGGCTCTCTGATGCCAACTCTATCAACGGGCATCTAGGCCTTCCTGAGGCCTATGAAGTCCTATGTCACTACGCACGCCATAACCAAGACAAGACGGTTACATGGAGCTTAAAAATACTGAGCAAACACGGTCCGTCGACTAATTTACCCAAAAGGAGAGCACAGGTGCAAATGACCCCCTTAACGTCCACCTTCTGCCCTAAGGTGCAGGGCAGCAGTTCAATGTGTCTTGCCTAAAGGAAGCAACTTGACATAAACAGGCAGGCGAAGACAATCTTTTCAGCATTTCTATCGGCCACCGGTAAGTCCCATATCCTTTCCCTCAGTAAAGGTCTATTCCTCGAAATTGAGGTTTCATACTCGGACTGCAGAGACCAATATATTATGCCGTTCGGTCACTGGGGCGGGGTCTTCTGTGCGACATCAGCATCAAAACATGTGCTTGAGGCATAAATATGACCAACGCGTACAAATAGACTTTTAGGACTGTATTCAACGCCCGTTTGTTCCCACTTGTACGCTTTTGACGCAATGAGCAATCCAAGATGGAGAATTAATTATGGACGAGGGAGGGCATATTTGTGACACTCCCGTCTTTTAAAGCAAGACTAACGAAAGTCTGAGTTTATCGGGCTAAGCGTACTCATGTACTTGTACTCAGTAAAGCCGAAGTCTAGTCCGCCTCGTTGTTGTCGCGGATTATGCCTTTCTACGTCTCAAGAGCTGTGGCTGTAGATTCGAGAGTTCGACCCATGTTTTCCCTCTGCGACAGAGACTATGTCCTGACGGACTCTGTCGAGTCTGGTTTTGCGCTGGATTCCTCTTCAACGCGTCCCGATGAGCAGTGACGTCGAACCAAAAGCGACAACATTTCAACCATGGAGCGGACGACTAAGGACGTGCCCAAGCCACGTAAGTTTTCGTTCTTGAATAACCTGATATGTCCTCGTGATAGTACTGCGGCTCGCGCAGATTGTCTGTTTCGTTATGAAGTCGATGAGAGATCGTTCTCATATAACAGCGATCGAACATTCTGGCTTTCCCACGCGCAGGCCAGAATCTACAACTGTACGGGAAAACTAACCGGACGAATAACCGCTACACGAGTCTCTTTGCATCGATGAAGATATCGCAACGAAAGTTACCAGGCTTGCAAGAACGCTGCGAGAAGCGACGATTTGAGTGCTGACTTGGTCCTTAGTCTTTCTATGCAGCAGCAGCAGCTTTGAATTACTTTTTCGGGCTGATAGGCATTAATTAGGAAGGCAGCCTTTTCCTAATCAGGGCTGCAGCTCGGAATCGCCTTCTTTCCTTGCATTGTTGATGGATAAACCGACGGATCTAGCCATCTCATTCAGATCAACCACTAAGTTCTGTAGATCACTACACCAGCAGGTCGATATTACTGTTCAGGTTAGCAAAAGTAAGAGATCCGGGTTGATAATCTGAGGAAAATGAACTGCTCACCGGATCGAGGGACTTGCAGGGCTGACTTTTCGAAGAGCTGGGGCGGCTCTCCATTATCAAAGCGTCAAGTGCAAAAATCGATCAGGATTTTGAATGGACAGCCGGATTAGTTGGCCTTGGGGTGATCGATTTTTTTCTCTGCTTTCGCTGCCTTGGTCTACCGGCCGTCGCCTGTGAGTGTTGGTGGCCTCCTGTGTTGTGTGTTGTCATCTCAACTGGGGTTAGTTGCGTTTGTGTCCCTCTTTTGGGTGAATTAGTCGACATGCCGTGTTTGCTCGGTATTCTTGAACTCCGTATGACTGTCTTGACCTCGTCCTGGCGTATGTACTGACGTAGGACTTTGTAGGCCGCAGGAAGGTCTTGATGCCTGTTGGTGGAGTTGGCATTTGAATACCAAGCCTCAAGTGTGAGACGTTCTGTCTTTGAGGTGACGACACACAACGCAGGAGGCCGCCGACATTCACAGACAACAGTCAGAAGGCCAAGACAGCGAAAGAAAGAGAAAATAGATCAGCCCAAGGCCAACTAATTCGGCCTTTTATTCAAAATTCTGATCGATTTTTTGCACAAAACCCTTTGATAATGGAGAGCCGGCCAAGCCCTTCGAAATTGATCCAGTGGGGTCATCACATTTCTCAGATTATCGACCCTGATCTCTTACGTTTGCTAACTTGATGGGTGAATCTGCTCACTTCAGTAAACATGCAACCGCCAATCACAGACGCTGCCTTCTTCTGACCAACGATAGTCTGAGTGTACTTAGGTTTTTGAGTGCTATTTGGCGAACGAACTGATCCGCAACTGAGTCGCAAACTGACTCACGACTGATTTACTCGAGGTGCTGCATTTTGTAGATCATCCTGGCTTGACGCTAGTAGCGCGACGTCGTCAGCCATCCGGCCTTTTGGTGCGAAGTCGCCAGAGGATCGGACTAAAATCCTTCCGAGAATTCCGCTAATTACGTATTTGGACAAAATGGACGACTGGATGGACCCCCCCCCCCCGGCAACGCCAGACCAAATATTCAACGACAAGGGGTCCATTGTGAGTAAAGAGATGGGTGTTTGTGGCGCTATCGCCTACAATAACCGATATGGTAGGTACTGTGCCAGGGACCGAAGGTAACAGTCGCATAGGCATGCCGAGAACCTACCTAAGTGCCACTGGTGCGCAAGGTGTGAACAAGCTGCTACGTCGTGCATGCCTGCAGTCAATCAGCGAAAGCCGAATTATCGATCGGCGCCGCAGAGTCATCCCGATGAGGTGCTGTCATATAGGCAGAGTAGGCACACAGTTGGTAAGACATGCGGTGGATCGAAGGTGGAACGAGTAGGCAATGTAGACTGTCATAAACGCCAAATGGCGAGCAGGGACGACAGTTGGTTACGATAAAAACAAAAATTCTTATCAAATTTCGGACCGAGCCTGACCAGGTTTGTCCCGAAATAATTACTCCCAGTTAGCTAATTGATTTTTGAGGACATTAGAAAGTCTAAAGTTCAAAATCGGGGAATGCTGGGGGACGTAGTGATGAGACGTATCCCTCACGGCTCTATCGTGCAGCGGCAGAAAATCGGCGAAACATGTGTCTGGACTCTTAGCTGGTATCTGTGCTGTCTGAAGGGTGTCATGCAACATCTGGATACAACGTCTAACCACTTTTCTTGTCGTGCACCACACATTGTTCGGGCTATACGCCCTTACTACTGTGAATTTTAGGTCATTGTGTAAATCGAGCGAAAACTGGGTGCCTTCGGGCACTGTTGCTTGTGAACGATCTTTCGTGCGAAGTTCACAGACCTACACTCGCACAAAAGTTCATATTTACTCTGGCGAAATCATAATCATATCTGAAAGCATTCAAGAGAAAATTCTGGAGTTGTTTAAGCTCATTTCGCCTCTTGATTCCTAGTTTTTGAATGTCATCTTAGATCTAGAAGAAAAAGAAGAAGAAGAAGAAGAAGAAGAAGAAGAAGAAGAAGAAAAAGAAGAGGAAGAAGAAGAAGAAGAAGAAGAAAAAAAGAAGAAGAATAAGAAGAAGAAGAGGAAGCCGTAAACGCAAAAT